TGATCGATTCGAGACCAAATGCTGCTCCGATACTTTCGTATCGGGCAGCTAATAAAACGCCAATGTTTAAGTAGTAAGGCTTTCTTTTTAAACACTTTCATTTTTACTAACTCATATAACAAATTTGGCGCGTCTTTATTTTTTTTATTTTAAATCGTATAGACCAATCATGATTGTCGATTAGAGAGAACTATAATTCAATTGGATATCAAAAGAATTTAACATTAAAGGGAGTTATCGTTATCGTTATCGTTATGAAGTAAAAAAATTAATAGCTCTTAGCAGAACGTAGCGGTAGACTCAATAGTGTATAGCCGAAGACTTGGGATCGATATCGCCCTTGAGCAAAATGCAAAATAAGAGCGTCCACTGTAGTAAAAAAAATTTTACATTTTGTTTTAAAAGATACATTCATCTTTCTCTACATCGAACCAACTTTTCTGGAAAATGTTTATTCGCTATAGAATATCTAATTATATTGGTTCTTTAACCTCTCGCTACTTCAATAATTAAATTAGACCCGCTTTTTAGAACCGGTAAAGATGGTATGTAAAATTCGTACGTACGTACGTACGTAATACAAATTCTGCATAACCGTTGATCATTGCCCAGGTCTTATTCAAAGAACTCCGTTCTTTAAATCGAATATTATTTAGGGGTACTGTATGCCGTGGTCAATAATTATAATATCGATATTATCGATATACTGGACACTCGAGAAATTTCATTCCTTATCTTTAAAATGGTTAAAAAAACTCGGCACTAATACTAAATTTAGTAATTAACTTATTGTCATTGTGACCGGTTTATGACCTCCCTAATTTATATATTGCCACACGTCAAAAAAATACCCGTATATTTATTAGTAAGATAAGGAGGAATGAAATCGAGGAACAATTTACATGATTTAGAAGAAAAAATTTTCCTTGATTAAATACAATCACGTATGTATATTCTACAAAATTAAAGACAATTTATATATAAAATTCTTTAATATCATATAATTCATCTAATTTTTCTCTGTTTCTTGTTTCATCATCAATGCACGTTTTTCTTCGTCGGCTATAAAGATCACTTTTTCTACTTGTCCATCATCATAATCATCATATTGACTAACAATCTGATAAGGAGTTTGTGGAAATAATGATACCATAAAACCTTCTATAGTATTACGGACAATAATAAAGAAAATTCCAAAGATTGATGTAAAGAATAAAGCAACAGTAACAAGATGTGCAAGCCAAGAGGAAGAATGCCACCAATGACGGAGACGTTTGATCATAGAACAAGAATGACTTTTGATGTGCACAGTAGCAATTTCTAAATTTTGGCCTCCACCAACAGTTTTAAGGCTTTTAAATTCAAAAGCTTTTTTAATGATATCAACTTGATTAACTTTTGCTCCATCAATTTCTGTTATGCGGACGGAAATTTTGACACGACGAAGGGATACTCCTTTCTCTTCGGTAGATAAAGATTCAGCAGCTGTATTAACTTCGACAGTAATGAGACCATTGTCAAAGTTGTTTTCATATTGATTAATATCTTTATTTTCCGGAATAATTTGTGCTTTAATCACCTAAAACCGATAATAAATGAATTTTAAAATGATGAATTTAAATATCAATAAATTTAAATTAAAACATACTTGGATGGAATTAATCCCTAATGGAACGGGCACATTGTTTACAAGCAATTGTTCGTCTCGTAAATCAAAGTTTATAAGAACAGCAGAAATTCTCTCCACGAGTAAGTCACCAGCATCATTCACAAGATCATCAACTCGTTGAACAGCAACCACGAAACGTTCTGCCGAAGGGGAGGTATGTATTTTCGATATGCCAACTGAGGTAGATGATATATCCTTTACGGGTATAGCATATGATAATATTCTCTAACTTGAAAATTATCTAAAATGAACGTGTATATGTAAGTTATATATAACTGTATAACGATAAAGGAGTTATCTCTAAATACAGAAATAAATGCAGGGTTTGACCTGCGTATTACCAGCATTCGTATTGCGCAACAGTTTTGTATTTAGGTTTACCAAATATAGTTATTTGATCGGGATTCATATTGTGACACATTAGTGCTTTACATTTAAATAGTACGTACTCCTCAGTCTTTATTAGTTAAACAATAGCTTATTTCGTCATTTTAGGGGAAATATTTAAACTTCTGTGAAGTTTCGCTTTTCCATTACTAATCTTTAGTGCGTTTCCCTGTCTTCCCCCCCTTCAATAA